TAGGGAGGTGAGTGGGGGTAGGGAGTGGAGGTCAGGAGGTGAGTGGGGGTAGGGAGTGGAGGTAAGGAGGTGAGTGGGGGTAGGGAGTGGAGGTAAGGAGGTGATGCCCAGCGCCCGAGACGCTCACGTCTGTGAGGCGCTGTACTGTACTGTGTTGGAGACTACACTGTGTGCGCCCAACATGACCTACTAAACTGACCCCGTGGTTTTATGCACCCCGCATAATTTAGAAAATTGTGATCAATTTTTGCATAATTTCTGATTATTTTCCTTTATTGTTATTTGTTAAAATTAACAGAATCGCATAATTTCACATTTTTGGGCTCAGTTTGCATAATTTCATAATTTATTTTTTGCATAAAACCGCGGGGACAGACGTAAAGCCTGGTGTGTCTATATCAGGCTACTTGGTGGGCATGCGGACTTTATGAACAACTAATGCGTTTGCCGTTAGCGTGGCTCCGCCCCCCCCCCCTATTTATTTTATGCTCGTGGGCTTCGACAGGTACCCAGGAAGCATGTAGATAAACCAGAGTGGGCCAAAAGAAGTCGACATAAGAGGAATTGTTTAGTGAACATACTGAAGGATACATTCCGTAATTGGAAAACATGTCGATATGTCAAAATGTCGATATAAATGGATTATACAGTGGAAATGAATGACCCAAGTAGTTAACAAACAGTACAGTTTGATAATAGATACAAATGGGTCTACTGGGTGTTTGTAGAAGTTAGTTATGACTGAAACAACCAAAGTGGGTGGTTGGTGGGAGCTCTGATGTGGTTTGTTCCTTCTTTCCTATCAAACATCTACCTTCCTTACCTCTCCTCCTTGGTTTTTTTGTTTTTTTGGAAGGGGGAGGGGTATGTTACTCTCTTGTTACATCTATTCTCTCCGGCACTTATATGACCTTATTGTGTGGCAAGTGCCGTAAAACTCTTACTAAAACTAAACAGCCCAGTGAAGCTGTGAGTCAGCTGAACTGGCCTGCCATATACTAATACTTACTATAGTGTGGTCAAAAATTCGTAGTGAAACTTATTGTCAAATATCTCCTCAACAATCAAACGTAGGTTCCCCAACTTTTGCACAAAGTCTTTTATCAGTTTTTCTTAAAAGTAATAAAAGGCAATATTTTGGTAAAGACCTGCTTGCTGTATTCTAGAAAACTCCTTAGTAAATACAAGTAAAAAGTCCAAGTGGGTGCTTTCTACTTCTACAGACTTTAAAAGGTTTACAGCCCCGGCAATATCGCTTTTAAAAACAATTCCGACGTTTTTTTCTTCTAATCACAACATTATGCTTATTGAACGCATGTTTTGAGAAACTTTAGTGCAAAAAAAATGTGTTCACTATAAAATTAATTTCTAGTAAGAAGTTTTGCTACTAAAAAGTGCCATTGTTGATCTGTGACGTAGGTCATATGGGTATGCAAAATGTGCGTGAGAGGCGGGAAGTGCTGTGAACAATCCCATTTTCCGCGTGATGGAGATTTATATTTTTATATAAATTTCAGATGAAATGATTTTAATTTTAATTTTAATGTAGGCTGCAATGTTGTGGAAAAATATGATTAAGTTAGGACAAATTGATACAAATTCTGTGCAAAGTATGATTGACATTGGTTCACCCGTTATATAATAAAAGGATATTTAAGGATAAGTTGCTCAACGAATTTTGTACCGCACCATAAGATGGAAAGAACAATTGAGGCGACAGAGTTGTGATTCATTAGACGCATGCTGCGTATCCCATGGACAGCTAGAAAAAAAGTGAAGAAGCTTAGTCTTGGTTGAAGCAAATCGTAGAAGACAGCTTGTGACGAATATACGAAAGCAACAGGCAAATTTCATTGGACACAATGCGGAAAGAAGCATTGGAGAATATGAATATTGTAACAACAAGCAAATTTGATGGAAAGAGAGGCAGAGTCAGACAGAGGGAAAAGATACGGGACAAGTTGACAACATGGCTAGGAGCAGCAAGAACAACAGACTCCACTGCTGCAACACAAGACAGATGGAAGTTTGTTGGGGTTTTTTAGTAGAGGTTTTACGGCGCTCGCACCTGCATAAGGTCATATGAGCGCCAGAAGATTAGAGGTGCTAGAAGAGAGTAACAAACATAAAAAAGAAGGAGGGGAGATGAGGACAATAGATGTTTGGTAGGAAAGAAGAAGCAAACCACACCACAGCACCCGCCAACCTCCAACTCAGATGGAAGTGGAGGTCCATGATCGCCCACGCCAGTCGGCAAGGCACCAGATGATGATGATGATAAGAGTTAATGTTGTGAGTAGATGGTTTTAATTTTTTTTAATTTTAAATTTTTTTTTTTTTGGTAAGCGTTTGATGACGCTTGCAACTTCGTAACGTCATATGATCACGCGGGATATATCAAACTTTTAAACATTTTCATTTGGTAGGAGGACATTTTTTAATTTTCCCCGGGTTAGGGCCGAAGCCTACTTTTATCGATTTTGGACCACCAAGGGATCTTAAATGTGCTCAGCTTGAGGCGGGGCCTCCGAGATTTTTCGCCCTAGTCTGAGAAGCCTAGGTGTAGATCTTTCTTACCATAAGATCAAAGGTGTGGCTGAAAGCCAGCAGTAAGAAGGAGCCAAGGAGCAGTAGAAAGGCTGTAGAAAGAGTCAGGAGCCCAGAGGAGGGGGCAAAGAAGGTGACGGGGTGGGGGCAGAAAGTGGAAACGAAAGCAGACGACAGAACTTGGTTATAAGAGCAGGAAATGGTGTAAAAGGAGAACATTTTAGAGAAGAAAATCTCCCTCGGTGTCCGGATTCGAACCCGGGACCTATTGAATGAGAGGCGAACGCCTTAACCTCTCGACCACGAGAACCTCCCAGTTTGAGTTTGAGACTACGGCACACTGGTCTAACGAGTTATTATTTTGTTGTTGTTCTTCTTTAAGAAAACAAAAAAACCTCCGACCTCTGTTGTTTGGTTGGAACGTTCGTCTTGTAACCAGACGAAGCAAGTTCTAATGTGTTCTTTAATGGGCTTGAAAGGTGTTGAGAAAAAACCCACGAAATTCGATAAAAATTGCTTAAAAATGCAAGTTTCTTCACTTTTTGATTATTTTGACGAGCGCCTTAAATTTCAACACGATGCCAAACATTAATCTTCTTTCTACTTTCCCAAAGATCATCGTCTTTTTGGAGAAGGCATTTT